GTATGTAAGAGTTTAGTTATAGCTACTATCTGAGGTATGTAAGAGTTTAGTTATAGCTACTATCTGAGGTATGTAAGAGTTTAGTTATAGCTACTATCTGAGGTATGTAAGAGTTTAGTTATAGCTCTTAACTAAAGTATGTATAAACTTATCTAAACTTTTAAAGAAATATGGTCTGTAAGATGGGAGTTTTGTCTACAAGTTCCAGCCAACAAATCAATCTTCACTATAGAAGTTGTTTCTCCTCTAGTGGAACTGTCCTAGGGTATTTTTACAAAAATCATTACGTTTTCTATGTGTACCAAATCCTATGGTGGCTTACGTATGCACTTTAGCTCAGTTTAAGATCATTTCTCCTACTTTGCATCTATATTTAATAACAACACTATCTGTAAACAACGCCAGTCTCCAGCATGTTGTTTATCATTATGAGATGTAATAAAAATTTAAACACGAGATTGCCTGAAGATATCTCTGGATACTTTATCATGAAAATTACTGTTTACTCTAAAGTGAAAAGACCCGTCTTTTGTCATATTTCGAAATTATTTAATATTTTATTTTCTGTTCCAAATGTAGTTTCTCCGAATACACCTACATCAGTCTTCAAACCAATGCAATCGCGAAAAGCTACACATAGTAAATTATGTTACAAAATAGAACTGCTACATTTTTCTAGCTAAAGAACCAATATTTTTTGCCACAAGGCTTCGTGAGAGGCTAATAAAGCTCATATTGAAGTACGCTTGGCAAAACATTATCAGAATACATTTGTGCTGCCTGTCATGTGAAGTATGGACTTAATATCTTCAAAGTGGAAAGAAAAAACCTTGTGTTAGTTGTACCAAGTGCTTTTGACGTTATTTTTATTCTAAACGACAATGGATTTGTTATGTTCATTCTCTATATTTGACTCTAATACATTGTACAAGCACGAGACGTTTAAGAATGGATATCAGGTCAACGGTCAATGGTCATGTCGAATGTGTTTATGTGCCCTATAAATACTTTGCTGACTGTTTTTCCTCTTAAAGCACAAACCCAAGTATTTGTTATTCGTAGTATTATTACCCTTGCTCGAGACTGGTGTTTTAAAAGTCATCTGGACAGAAAAGTGGTCGCAATTATGCATTCTAAAGGCGAACGTAAATTGTGCACAAACAGAAACCACTCGTCAATCTTATGGTGGTTGTATCAACTGGAGGATACATTATGTTTGTCTTTGTTCCATTTCTTCTAAATAAGCAAACTAGTGATGCAGGACTTACTCATCATATCTTTTAATAAGATGTTAAACATTTCTTTCCTGGTCATAACCACGTGATGGCTGTCGTGAGTAAAGGTTTTTAGGGATGCAATAAAACTCTTTCATGAACAGGTATTAAGGTAATTTTTTCCACAAGGAACGTAACCAGCATTATACAGAGAAATACAAATTGTCAAGCCGGTTATGTGATAAAAGCAATTAAGTGTTGCATAAATGAGTGGAAGGTACTGGATCACCTAAAGAAATACACCCAGTTCTGCTTCACAGGCGTTCTTGCCAAGAGAAGAATGTCTCAAAATACCACCTTCTGACGATGACCTATCAGGCTGCCAAACAACATTTCATTAACTGTTTTCTAAGCTTGTTAGTGTTTGCTTGAAAGGTGATACTGTTTGTGGATATCAAGAATAGCTCTCTGCCTTATATAGAAGTTCCCCAGTGTCCACAAAAAATTGTGAGTGAAATAGATAAGGTCGACAATGGCCAATGCACGTGATATTGCGCAATGTCAGCTGGGATAGGCTGTGCTGTGGCAAAACACAACTTACACCTGGATGGTTGAAGTTTTAGTAAATTTAAATGTAAAGAGATATGTTGGGTTTTATCTTGCTTATACGTTATTGGATTTTATAAATTCTGGTTTCTATTTTACTCGTAATACTTTGAATGGTGTTTAATTATAATTGTGACATTATTTTTTGAAATTACGAAGTTTTTAAGTTATTGGTAGACGTTTTTTTTATACACTGCATTATTGCATTTCATTTATTATAAAATACATTTATGTAATACGTGAAGCCTATCTTTTTTCGGTGTGCTTTAGATTTTTCATTAAATTTTAGTTATATTTTTGCTGTTCTGTGCATCTTACGCGGTTCACTTAATGACAGTGGACAAAGGCAAAATACTCATTTGAATTTTAACATGAATTAGGGCTAGCCGAAGAGCAAGAATGGAAGAGTTATGATAGCGGTTATTATCAAACCTACCTGTCTATGATGTTATTTTCCGTTATGTTCAAAATTCTGGTATATTTCCAGACTATCCTTATCTTTGTAAGTCCATCCTTAATCACTTTAAAACAGTTCCTTTAAATCTTATTATTTTAGTGGCAACCGATAGTTTTAGACAATCTATTCATTAGATTATCTGACCACAGGCATTTAAAAATGTATACTCTAGGACAGGGCTGGCGAACCTATGGCACGCGAGAACATTTTCTTGGCACGCGGCATTCAACGTTTTCCCAAGTTTTCTTTCTTTTACCAGACCAATACATATATATGAAGGCGTATATATATTAATTGTAATATATAAAATTAATAATAACAAAATAATGTTGCTGCTCAATATACCCATGGGCACGAGAAAGAATTTCTCCGAAAGCAATCGACAGTTTGGGCACACGCTCTCAAAATGGTTCGCCTGCCCTGCTCTAGGGGTTCTACTCCGACTTTTTCCTGTGGGATTTTAGAGTGGTCGTTTTCTAATAACTTATTGTAGTTAGTGGAAATCTATGAGTAATACTTTATTTGTGTTTCCTATATATCTTGTCCTTTAGCTCAGTCACTGTCTGCATACAGTCAAGTCTGAGAAGTTCGGTTCCAGTGTCAAGCTTTAGTGTTGAAGCATGTTGCAGTTGAACTGCAGTGAAGATAGTCAAGTGTCAAGCTTTAGTGTTGAAGCATATTGCAGTTGAACTGCAATGAAGATAATCAAGTGTCAAGCTTTAGACAGAGTTGAAGCATGTTATAGTTGAACTGCAGTGAAGATAGTCAAGTGTCAAGCTTTAGACAGAGTTGAAGTATGTTATAGTTGAACTGCAGTGAAGATAGTCAAGTGTAATGCTTTAGACAGAGTTGAAGCATGTTGCAGTTGAACTGCAATGAAGATAGTCAAGTGTCAAGCTTTAGACAGAGTTGAAGCATGTTGCAGTTGAACTGCAATGAAGATAGTCAAGTGTCAAGCTTTAGACAGAGTTGAAGCAAGTTGCAGTTGAACTGCAATGAAGATAGTCAAGTGTCAAGCTTTAGACAGAGTTGAAGCATGTTGCAGTTGAACTGCAGTGAAGATAGTCAAGTGTCAAGCTTTAGACAGAATTGAAGCATGTTGCAGTTGAACTGCAGTGAAGATAGTCAAGTGTCAAGCTTTAGACAGAGTTGAAGCATGTTATCCTTGACTATCTTCATTGCAGTTCAACTGCAACATGCTTCAACTCTGTCTAAAGCTTGACACTTGACTATCTTCATTGCAGTTCAACTGTCAAGATTTAGACAGAGTTCAAACATGTTTTAGTTGAACTGTATTTGTGTATATGTCCTGTTAAGTAAACCCTAATTGTCAGTTACGGTCGCGAGTTTGAGTAAAATAGATGAATTGCAAAATGGAGTGACTAAGAAAAGGAACAATTGTAGAATTCTGTATTACGAACGTTCACTTTATCGTTTTTTTTTTATGAACATTTAACGAAGTTAGTCATTTTAACACCCAGTCCAGCCACAATGACGAACCTCACCATTTTACTTAATTAGTTACTGTAGGCTAATTAAATTCTTATATCACCTGTCATTAGTGGAAGTAACTTATCATGTTTGATATAGAACATTTTGGTACAGTATTACCATAAATACAACATGGCTTTATTGTTCTTGATAGGTATTTTGATTTAGAATTTCCTGATTTTAGGGGTCTGGAATTTACCAGGGATGGTCAGAAAAACGTGGCCATTCGCACATTAAGCTTTTGGTTAAAACATTCATTAATGTATTTCTGAATTTGACAACATACAGAACAGGTCTGCTTTACTAAGTCGTTAGACGTTTGACTGAAATATCTATTGGTAGTCCTACATTAGGCTTACAGATTATATCTGTCGTTACTAATGTATGTAATCTGTCAAAATAGACACACAAAACACAATAGATTATAAACTTGTTACCTTGCGAAAAAAGAAGCAGCTGCTGATGGCTTGTTGGTTTCCAAAATAGCTCTGCAGGGAGAGCTGTAGGACGTTCCTTGCACGCCTGACATAGGAGACAAGTCTGCCTGAGCAAGGGAGTGCGGAAAAGAGTAGCTTACTTGCATACCCACGTTAGAAGTTTCGGTACTTCCGCTACTATCAGGAACTTCATAGAAATGATCAGTCAAAAGCTTATCTCCCTGTGTTTGGAAAGAGGGCGTGTTGGCTGCAGCAGTCTGAAGAAATCCCTAATAACAAAGAGAAGGGTTGAAATATTTTATTCCAGTATTTGTTACACCTTATACTCACTCACAATTGGATATATATTTTACCAAGCAATAATCATTCAAGATACTCAATATTTTGTGAGAACTGTCTAATAAGAATATTTGTATTTGTAGCAGCACCCTACCACCCTGTCACTCTAATGCGAGGAATATATCGCCCGGATTCAAACTTGGTTCATCAGTTTCGAAATTCAGAACTCTACCATAAGGCTAATCCGCGCCCTTTTCCCGCCCCTCCAAGAGAACCACGAATAAAGAGCTTGAGAAGTAGCATATTAATTTCTCATTCTGTTTTATTAGTTTACAATCCACCAAATGCCTCTCACCGTCTCATTTTTTTGTTTCTTTTAACTAAGCCTTGAATATCAATAATAGATAGAGGGTGCTCATGCTCGTCTCAAATTTTGTGTAGCACATAAAAATGGTATCATTAAATAAAAGGCATTAAGGAATATTATTTACTTATTTACTTTCAAGGCACTAAGAAGGTACATTTAATTAAATGACTTTTCAAAAATATTAGCGATAAGTTAATAACTTATCTCTGATCAGAAGTTAATATTAATCAACATAATGCATCTGAGTTTCACCTGAATATTACAAAGACTACATACCGGTGTTGAAAAACACTGAGGGTTTGAATATTGGTAAGCACAAAACTGCATAATATGTTATCTGTGCTGTGTCAACGACGAGTATCAAAACTTGATTTTTAGTGTTATACGACCTCAATTAACGCTGAACCATCGGGGGGGGGGGTGAATATTGAATGATAATTTATTAGTTTATTTTTTATTTACATAACATAATATTTAATGTAAGAAATAGTCCATTTTAACTTATTACAGTCACTAAACAGTAAAGACAAGAACATTATAAGAGTTTGGTAAGTCTAACATTCGTGATATAACTCTAGCAGCGTAGCGTTCTTAAGTATTTAAAATATAACTTATGTTTTCAGCCAATCCTAACGATAATTTATATTGCAGGTAACTTATGTTTTCAGCCAATCCCAACGATAACTTATATTGCAGGTAACTTATGTTTTCAGCCAATCCTAACGATAATTTATATTGCAGGTAACTTATGTTTTCAGCCAATCCTAACGATAACTTATATGGCAGGTAACTTATGTTTTCAGCCAATCCCAACGATAACTTACATAGCAGGTAACTTAGGTTTTTAGCCAATCCCAACGATAACTTACATAGCAGGTAACTTAGGTTTTTAGCCAATCCCAACGATAACTTATATGGCAGTAAGAAAAACATTTCATTTTGTTTATTCGTTTGGTGTCGTTATGATACCACAGAGAAAAATCCAACTATTTACAATTATGTGAAAGGCGTATTATAGTTTTATAACGTTAATTGTTGTGTTAGTGGTTAAAATTTAAAACTAAAGTAAACAATTTCCATAATACGTAAGGTTAAATCACTTAAGCTCATTTAAGTTATTTTATTATTATAGCATAAACTCTAATTTGTCTTTTTTTAAGTTGTAAGACTATTTTGAATAACAGATGTTTCAATTTAAAATGAATAGGAAATAACTAATATTGGAAATGTTTTGTTTTGTTTTTTGAATATCGCGCAAAGCTACACGAGGGCTATCTGCGCTAGCCGTCCCTAATTTAGCAGTGTAAAGACTAGAGGGAAGGCAGCTAGTCATCACCACCCACCGTCAACTCTTGAGCTACTATTTTACCAACGAATAGTGGGATTAACCGTCACATTATAACGTCCCCACGGCTGAAAGGGCGAGCATGTTTGGTGTGACGGGGATTTGAACCCGCGACCCTCAGATTGCGAGTCGAGGGCCCTAACCACCTGGCCGTGCCGGGCCATAATATTGGAAATAAAAATTTACTCAACATTGTATTTGAATTGAATGAAAAATTAACCATGACCATGCAATTATCAGCAGAAGTGAGAATCATTATTATGATGATTTAAATTTCCATTTAATATAAATACAAAATTAACTGTTTTTTATGTTAAGTATTTTATGGTTCATTTCCATCATTTTTCTCAAAGTATATATATCAATTTTAGATTTATTATGTAAAAACCACTTCCACAAACCTACTATTATAACTGGTTCTCGGTAACGCTGTGTTACATAATGCTTTGTGTATCTACAGCCAAGTTAACAAAACAGGAGTAACGTTTCTGTGTCAATATTTATACACAGGATTGAACCTTTGGCCACAGTTGTTCCATTTTCTTTAAAGTAATGTAAGGGCGTTTATAGATGTTCAGAAATATAAGAATAAGGAGTTCATATCTGTTTTATATTAAGATAAATAAACAGTTAAAGAGTAGCTTTTGACTGCAAAATATATAGTGAACAAGAAAGACTAGCACGAAATTAATTTCACTCGTAGATATTAACCTGAGTTAGGCTTTTACATAAGAATATGTTTTAATAATGTTAATGGTGGACTGATTTCCGCATCCATTAGGTTAATGCTGATATTTTAAGGGCCAAGAGGCACGTTGAAAATCTGAAAGGGGTGAAAGCTGTAGTGATCTAAGACTGTGTTAATAGCTTCCTCTGAGAACTGGAGTCAAAATCCCGCTTCGGGTGGAATGTTAATTTAAAACTAATAATCAAAACGAAAAGTTAGGATATTTTATCAAAACGTTTTACGTCTATAAAAATAACAAAGTTATATCAAAAGAAAAACCCTATAAAGATATAATGTATAAGTGAATAGATTAAACAAGAAAAATAGGAACCTAGCCTCATTTTTTTTATTGCAGCTGGAAGAAGCAGCAAGCTGAACATAAAAAGAAGCCAAGTTTACTCAGATCATTTTCATCTTTAAGTTACCCACTTTTAAATTACATCTTTATACGGCTGAAGTTTTATTCTAAATTCACTGTTTTTATAGTTATAAGAAATGTGTTTATGAGGTACTATATTACAATAAATATTTTGATAACTTTGATACAGATACCTAGCAATCGTTGCATCATTGAAGCATAAAAATACCTTTACCCGTCAACAACTGCTGTTAATCCAAGTAAAATAGGTTTCAAACTTCAATGTGTTAAATTTTCCAGTACAAAACGGTACACGTGCATGTGTGCTCACAGCTTGTAATGAAAAGCTCCATCTATCAGTGTTAATTTTTTTTTATAATTTTTTTTGTTTACCATATATAAATTAAGAATAGAATGTTTTTAATTTGGTAAGTTAATTATGTTCTGTTTAATTTTAGCATTAATAAAAAGAATGATCAAATTTTATGGACATAATTTTGATTAAACTGAATATTTTCCTTTTATTTTGACTATTTTTAGCGAGTAGACCAACTTTAAACTCCTGGATTAATTAAAGTTTAGCATTGCTGCATTACATGTTT